GTGTGTGCGGGTGCGTGTGCGGCGCGATCCTGCATCCACTTGCTGCTCGCTGCTGGCGGGATCGGAAACTGCAGCCGCCGGGAAGGGAGGAGGGAGCGGAGCAGGAAGAGGGGGGTCGGGGATGGGCCGGGAGGGAGGGGGACACGCGTGGGGTGGTGACACGGCCCGCAGTGACGCCCCCGCGGGTCCGCACACGCGGCGCCCGTAAGGCGGGTGCGGGACCGTGGCCCATCCCGCGACCCACGCGCCGCAACCCGCATGGGGAAGGGGACACGCGTGGCACCGCGCCGAGACGAACGGGCCGGCACAGCGGTGGCACAGAGGGTCGCTCAGGTGCGTGCCCGCTGTGGCRTTCCCCGAGATGGCCCAGCTCGCCCCGGGTCCCCGCGCACACGCGTGGGGCGGCGCACGGGGCCCCTCTCGGCCCCCGCAGGCTCCGTGTGCCGCGCTCCGCGTGCTCCAGGCCGGGTTTTGCCGGAGCCGGGGCGCGGCGGGCGCTGCCGGGGCACTGCGGGCGCGGCGGGCGCTGCGGGCTCTGCAAAACACGGACCGGATTACACGGAGCTCGCTCCCGTTAGCTCTTCCCCGCCATCGCTCAAAGGCAATTCCTGGCGAATTCCCGTCTCTCCAGTCATGCTCCCGGGGTGCTGGTCTGGGGGTCCCCGGGGTGTGAGGGAGCGCAGCCGAGGGGGAGACCCCGCTGATGCAGGATGTGCCCATGGATGGAGGCGACAGAARGGGGAAAGATGATGGAGACTGTGGGTTTTGCCCCTGGAATTGGGAATTGTGCCTGCTCCCACTTTCTGCTGGGGTGAGGATATCAGATATCCATCCCAGGATGAGGTGATGGGGTTAGAGACCCATCCCAGGATGGGGCAATGGGGCTGGGACACTCCTGCCTGGTCCAGGAYTAGTGGGAGCCTCCAGAGGCAGAGCCCAACCTGGCCTGGTGGAAAGGAACTTGGACCAGATGACCTTTAAAGGTCCCTTCCAGCCCAAAYCGCTGGGAATCAGYTGGAATMTCTCTGGAGTCKYASTGGGCCAGGAAAAGGCAGAAAACCACCMCTGACACGGTTTGGGGGACTAAGATGGGACTTGCTCCTGGGCTGGGTTTGGAGCAGGGAATGAAGCAGGAAATACCTCCCTGTAAAAATCCTGAACTGGCATACCCTGGATTGAGGGATGGGGCTGAACTGGCGACTCCCCAGTGCTGTGGAATTCCCCAGCTGGGGAACAAGGGATGAGGGATCKGGTCTCGTGTGCCTGACTCACAGCAGGGGCTGCAGGTGGCCCTCCCCTGGGGATGGGGGCCAGCCACATCCCACTTTGGGAAGCCGACTGGGAGCCACGTGCCAGGCAAACTCCAGCACCTACACCCTGGCAAAGCTCTTCCAGGGAGGGGGAGTGGTGCCAGCCTGCTGCCAGCCTTCCTGGCACTCTGGATGGGCTGGGAAAAGGGCACCTCTCCTGCCCCTCTGTGCTCTGGGGCTGGCGGAGCCTCCTGCCACTGCCACGGAGCTTTATTTTGATTTTGGAACGGTTTCTGCCACTTTTGTGGGAATCTTCTCATGGAGCCCTTGGCAGCGGCCCTGGCTTTCACTCCGCTCCTCTCTGCTCTCTTCCCACACACTCTGGTGAGCTCTAAAATCCCCATCCCCGCACGCACAGACAGCCCAGCAGCTCCGTAACCTCCCGCTCCCACTCAGCCACTCCCGCCATGGTTTTCAGCGGGGCCAAGTGGGTGGAAAACGCTGCTGAGTCACGGGCCTGGCGCCTCGGCAAGGGCCACGCGTGAGCCTGCTGCGCCCTGGCACCTGCCCCGAGAGTTTTCCTGCCTCTTGGGCCACTGTGGAAGGAGAAAGTTAGCCCGAAATAGGGCCCTGTGAATCCCTGATCAACCTGAGTCGCTGCCATCCCAAATTTCTGGGCRCCTCCAATCCCTGGGTGCCCCAAACTGCTGCAATTCCAACCTCAAGGTGCCCCAAATCCTTGGGCAACTGGAGCCCCACATCCCAAATCCCTGGATATCTGAGTACCYGCCATCCTAAAGCCCTGGATGCCTGAAGCCCCTGCCATCCTAAATCCCTGGATTTCCCCCAAAGCCCAGCCCTGTGTGTCCCTCCTGTCCTATCCACTGCGCAGGAAGATGCTCCTATGTGTCCCAAGTGCYTGCTCAGGATTCCCTGGAAAAGGCACATTCTGCTGCTTGGCTGTTCCACAAAGAGTAATTCTGCGCCTTTCTCCTAATTTCCTCTCTTGATTTGGGGAGAAAATGGAAATTTCCTCTTCTCCCTCTCCACCCAAGGGGGAGAACTTTTCCCTTTGTATTTATCACCTCTTGCTGGAGCTGTTTATCCAAATTAATCTCCAGGCCGAGGCCAAGCCGGGGGTAATTCCATGGAAAACGAGGAAATTTTGGGAGCTTAACGGGAGCAATTAGAGGCGGTTAGGAGGCGAACTATTGCTCAAGTCGGACATGAGCGGGCGGTGACCCGGCGCTTGTCACAGCTAATAAAGATGTTAATGAGCCGGCAGCGGCATACGGCTTCTGCTCCCATTGTTCCCATCGCTCCCTATTCCCTCTCGGCCGCTCTTGGCCCCGCGGAAGCCGGGCCCTGTTTGCCTTTTCTGTGCAAACACGGAGCGGGGCAGAACCGGTCCGGCGGCCGGGCGGGATCCGCTGAGCTCCCCCGGGCGGGTCCCGGGGCGCATCCCGGGAGACGCCCCCGAGGGGAAGGCGAGCGGCGGAGATTGGCTCCGGGGGATGACCAACCCCCCCTCCTCGTGTTATTCCATGAGTGGATAAATGACGGACAAGCTCGCTGGCCCGTGGATGAGCAGCGCAGTGGATCCGCGGGGAAGGCTGGAAGCCCATCCTCGGGGCCAGTGGGGGAGCGGGGAATGCAGCAGAACCCCAGCCAGGCCTCGCTCACTGGATGGAAATAATTATCCCAATGGAGACGGAGTAGTCTCTGGATATTTTAATTACGGAGGGAGYATCCGTCGTGTGGCACTGCTGCTCGGCGCCACGTTTGCCAGCGGCGCCAAGGGACATTCCTGTTTGCCCTCCCACATCTCCCCTGTTTGCTCTGTGTGGCTCCAGCCCTTTGGAGCTGCTGGAGTTTTCCATGCCTGAGTCTTCCCTGGGTGGGTCCAAGGTGTGGTGGCTCCCAAAAAAGGGAATTTTAGGGTCTTTCAATYAGAGCCTGAAGCCACCAGGGATGGGGATGGAGAGCTTGGGATACTCTGGCGTGGAGCTGGGATATCACSCATMCAGCACTGGAGCTGTGCCYTCCACCCTAAGATTTTRTTGCTGYTCCTCCCCCAGGCAGGAAAATATTRAAAGAATGAAAGCAYTGGAACCAGGAATATGGATTCTAATTCATGTGGAATGCTGAGGATGGTGGCATGGCTGGAGAGACAGGAGCCAGAGTGGACAATCATGGGGAATGTCACACATACCCTGTCCTCCTGCCACCTCATCCCTACTCCATGGTGCCACATTGTCCAGTTTGAAGTGTTTATATACCTCAGTTTCCCAATACTCCTTGTGTTTTACGGGATAAATTTGGCTATAAATCCTTAGGGCCGACTTCTCCGCAATCCCAGAAGCAGCTGCCTTCCCAGTGTTGGGATGGTGCCTGGCTCCTCGGGGGTGACCTGGCTGTTGGAAATGGAGGGAAAGCTCCGAGCCCTCCAGCATCACCAGGGTGCCCGGAAAGCTCCAAGAGAAGCCGGGAAAGGCGGCAGGTGGAGGCTGAAGGTCGTGGCGTGGACTTTGCCCCTGGGAGCAGCTGCTCCGCAGGTGAGACGGGATCCAAGGCCACRCCGTAGAGCTTGGATCCTTCCTGCTGGCTCCGAGCCCGCGGCAGCCATGGGATACAGGAGAACGCTATGGAAACAGGAGATTCTGCAGAAGGTTTGGGCCAGGGGTGCATGGATCCTGCCTCCCAAAATCCCGCGGAGACAGGACTGTTTGTCCTTCCTGGCAGCTCAAAGCCAGGTCGTGCCGGGGTCCATCTCCGCAGCCAATTTGGGATCAGGTTTCGATCGATGGAGTTGCTCCAGCCCTGCTGCCCTGACTCAGCARGGCCCGACTCCCAGAGTCCCCACCGTGCCTTTGGATCCCGACTWGGAAGGCTGGAACCAGCCAGGAAGGGGTTTGGGTGTGATTTGTGCTTCCAACACCCGGAATGCTGTCCCAGGGGAAGCTGGGAATGGTGACACAGGTCTGGATGATCCCAAACTGCATCCCAGGTGCTGCCAGGGGACACAGCCTGGGTGTGGTTCCCCCCTCCCCCAAATCCTGTTGAATCCCATCCTCCCTCCCGCTGCTTTCCCAGCCCTTCAGCGTGAGTCTTGATCATTTTTTCATGAGCACTGGCAGTTGATGCCTGGGGAAAGGCAGGGCTGGAAGAAGCTGCCCTCGGACACTGCCCTTTCCCTGCCCATTCCAAAGTGCTCCGGCGCTGGCAGCATGGAGCCAGGAGCTCTCAGTGCATCTGAAACCACTACTCTCCGCATCCTGATGTCGGATAATTTGTGGAGCACGGCTCCGTAATGAGCGGTGACCTCTATTAGCTGAGCTCTCCGGCTCCTCAGGAGTTTCCAAAGTGCCTCTCTGGGTGGTTTTTTTTTTGAGGTTAGAAAGGCCGAGTCACTGTACAATTAGGGATAAAACGTTCCTGTGTCGGATGGATGGATGGATGGATGGATGGATGGATGGATGGATG